ATGAACGGAAACTGCAAATAATTGAAATTTTTCTAAGTCCAAGGGGCATAACTCTGTGAAAAATGGTGCGATCGTACCCAAAACAGAACTTGACCTAGATATTCATCTGATAAATCTGTATACTAAATTTCATCTAAGTATGTGCAACGGTTGCAAAGAAAATGAACGGAAACTGCAAATAATTGAAATTTTTCTAAGTCCAAGGGGCATAACTCTGTCAAAGATGGCGCGATCGTACCCGAAACAGAACGTGACCTAGATATTAATGTGATATATCTGTATACCAAATTTCATTTCAGTATGTGCAACGGTTGCGAAGAAAATGAACGGAAACTAAGTGGACCGACAGACAGCAGCAAAGCAATATGCCCTCCCTTCTTCGAAGGGGGGCATAAATATTGCGCTTCCAAGATAAAAGCATCTTATTTCCATACGGGCGAGATGCGAGATAGATAGCATATTAAATTCGAGTATGATAATATACATGTATGTATACGTAAATGTACATTTATAGTATGTTATAAAATTATCATAATGACTTCTTTCAGCTTGGGGGAGTAACATTTTTCATGTATATAAATTTACTAGATTAGTTTTGAAGATTGAAGCAAATTGACAAAAATGGTTCATTCCGCGATTTTTAAATAGTCCCGCTTAGCTGCAGAACTGTAGCTCTCTGCTTCAGAAAATTCGGACATAAGAAGCAGAGCTACAGATCCAAGCGTTGTAAAAACCAGTGCTTCGATTTATGCCGTCTATTTTTTGTCACTACTTTAGATATTTATTTCGTGTACTTTTCTCTGGCTGTCAGAATGGTATCCTACATGTATAATAACTCATATATTAAACTCTTATATTTGATACTTTGTTTACCTTTTAATGGTCCGAAACAGTCCTGTATATTTTGTAATGTCGGTTTAAAAGAGTTCCATTTCGACGTTCGTAAGCACAAACAGCCATTCTTTAGCGTTGAGAGGTAAGTAATTGATCAGGAATTGAATAAGTTGAATGTATGATTAATTATAAAACACCATTTAATATTATTTTCAAAACTGGGGAAAGTGTGACCAAGGAAATTAGTGTTAATCCGGGACAAAGATCAAAGCGCCTCCGGGCAGATTAATTATATATTGAACAGGTGTCAAGGACTTCAGAGTTAAAGACTTGAGTAAACATTTATCTCTGGACGATACAAATAATTGCTTAATTGATTGATAAATAACTCTATTGTAAATATTATGTAATTGTATGTAATTTGCTGTTATGTACAATTTATTTAGTTACCGGTTGGCTTTCACCAAGACAGCCACGCTGGACAGCGCTCTCGTCCGCTATATGGCGGAGCCTGTCCCCTGTTTTTTTGTATTTTATTTGAACCGGAGAAATTACATCTCATAGGTATACAATATTCATACATAAGATTTGTACAGGCTATATACAATATACATGTATTAATTACATAACAATATCATTTAATTATTATTAGGACATCATTTCTTAATTGATGAAAAAAATACAAATATTTGCCCAGGTTACATAGTTCTTTAGTATTTGTAGAACTCAGTAGCTGTACTAATTTAAATACTGATGGTTTTTTAAAATAATAACACTTAATATATTTAATTCTAAGTTCTTCATATCGAGGACATTTTAATACAAAATGAAATTCGTCCTCTATCTCACCTGACATACATATTTCACATTTTCTATCTTTTCTTTCTATATTACTATACCTTCCCCTTTCTATTCTTAAATCATGAGCTGATAGCCTTAAACGACTGATAGGTATTCTATACTTAGAATGCAATGGTTTTCTTAAATAAGTCTGTAATGCAACATTATCCACTAAATGTTGAAATAGAAAATATTTAGGAGAATTACAAATTCTTGCCATAATTTCTTGTTTATAACAGTCATACATTCTTTGAAATATAATGTTCAGAGTATTATTATCAATACAATCACTACTATACATGTCAGCTAAACCAAGCCTTTGGAATTCCTTCTTAATGTTTACAATCCATTCATCATTATTTTCAAACATATCTTGATAACATGCTTGTAATATACAATTATCACTGTTTTTTAACTTCACCCAGTATTTCAAAATTTTCTTTTTCCTTTCAAGTATAAGTGGAAATCTACCTGATTCACAATAAACTGCATCGTTACTGGTGCTTTGTCTGACCTTTAAGACTCTTTTACAATAATTTAAGTGAACATTTTCTATGTCTTGACCCTTGTGAAATCCCCATACTTCAGCTCCATAACTCATAACACTGTTAACATAAGTATCGAATACAGCTAATTGTGTTTCTACGTTAAAATGCAGATCCCTGATTTTACTATTTACACCGTACATAGCTTTTTTACCTTGACATGAAAAATGTTTCTGTGTTTCAGCAAATTTTCCATTATAATTAAATAACATACCTAGATAATTAAACTGATTAACAACTTCAACATTGCAACCGTTGTATGTCCAACGTTCATTTTCCAGTATTTTACGACTATTGCGAAAAATTAATATTTTTGTTTTTTCAACATTAACAGTTAGATTCCACTCCGTTGTGTATGTATATAATGCATCCAACATTCTTTGTAAACCCTCAGATGAGTCAGATATCAAAATAGTATCATCTGCATACATCAGTAAAAATATATTTATCATCTGCAGTTCGATTGATGGACAATTATTTGTAATAAAGTGACGTTCAAAGTCATTCAAATACATAGAAAATAATAATGGTGATAAAATTTCACCTTGTAGAACACCAGACGTAATTTTGAAATACTCTGTAAGTAAACCATTATATTTTACACATGCCTTAATATTATCATATAAAGATTTGATAATACAAAATAATTTCCCTTGAATACCCTGAGTACTAATTTTAAGCCACAAGTTAATTCTATTGATATAATCGAAGGCTTTTTGATAATCTACAAAACAACAATAAAGTTTTCTTTTGTTCCTTAAGAATTTGTTAACTAATGTCTGTAGAACAAATATCGCATCAATGGTACTTGAACCTGACTTGAATCCAAATTGCGCGTCTGTAATTATGTTATATTCTTTATCCCAATGCATCAGTCTATTATTTAATATGCTTGTAAATAATTTAGCCATGCAACTAACAAGTGTAATTCCCCTATAATTATTAGGATTATTACTATCCCCTTTCTTAAAAACTGGCACTATACACCCAGTAGCCCAACTCTCTGGATAATGGCCCGACGTAAAGATTTTATTAAACAACATGCATAAAACAGGCATGAGTATTTGTTTACAATGAATGAAAAATTCGTTAATCATGCAATCTTCTGCATTACTTTTATCATGTTTTAATTTATCAATAGCATATTCAATTTCTTGTTCCGTAATTTCCTGATCTAATTCACAGTATACTGAAGATTGTGTCTCTACGTAATTAAATTCATTATTCCTATTGTTTTCTGCATTACATTCAAACAAAGTTTTGAAATGTTCTAAGAAATCGTTAGCCGATAAATCTGAACTTACTTGCCCTTTCTTACGTTCAAACAATTTGTAAAATTTTTTGGGGTTATACTTCCTAATATACTCGATTTTATTACCTTGATGTCTCTCATAATTGTGTCTACATTTTTTCATAACTTTCTTGTAAGCCGCTTTTTTATTAACTAATAATAATCTATTATCAGTAGATTTCTGTTTATTGAAATGGTTTAGAGCTGTCTCATATTCTATGTACTTTGTCTTACACTCTTCATTAAACCATGGTTTATCTTCAGTATGTTTTGAATTAATATTTCTATTCATATTAATAGATCTATTACTCTGTATAATTTTACAGTATGGCAGAATTAAATCACATAATGTTTTACTAAAATTTTCAACACACCGATTTACTTCTTCTGTACTATCAAACGAATGAATCAGACAATCAGAAAGCAAGTCATAGTTATTATTGAGAGTAGTATTTATCTGCGTTATATTTTCTTCAACCCATTTTACTGATTTAAAACCCGTTCTACCTGATTGCTCTTGACCACAAACAACCTCACTTTCTTTATTATATGCACCACCTATATAAAAAATAATTGGTGCGTGGTCTGAAAAAACAGAAAAATCTCCCAAAGTAAAATCTACAATATTACTAGCGTTTTTACTCTTTGTTATTAGATAATCAATAGTACTCATACCATTTGCACCATAAAAAGTGATACCCCCATGTTGATCATTTTTGTGTCTTCCATTGATAATTCGCATACCAGTGGTTTTACACAAATCTATCAATTTTCTACCAAAATTATTCACTAAACTATCACTGTTGTTCCTTGTAGACTCGTTTGTATCTAAATCGTAATCAGTAAAAACTTGCATAGTATCTGTTACCGATTTATTTATCATATCGTTCCTTATAAAATCATCTAAATTACCACATCTAGCATTTAGGTCTCCTGTTAAATAAACCTTTCCCTTGCTAGCAAATCTGCAAATTGATTCTTCTAAATACTGAAAAATATCTACATCTTTTTTTTTTATAAAAAGTACTTTTTTCTGGTGGTATGTAGCAAGAAGCTATATGAATAGGCTTTTCATTTACATTTGACTCTTTTCTAATTTCTAGCCAGATAACAGTATTGCAAAAAGATTCTATAATATTAACACTAATACTGGGCACGTTTCTATAAAAAATGACAATACCTCCCCCTCTTCCACAATTTCTAGGGAAAGTGTAACAATTGTACTCATCTAAATTAATACATAATTCATCACCTGCACAGATCCAGCATTCTAAAAGAACTATGATATCATATTTATTTACAATATTTACAAACTCCTTATCTTTCAGCTTTTGTCTAATACCCTTATTTACATTCCAAACTATGAACGAAAGGTTAGAAGTGAAGTCACTGACCTCTCTACCTCTACAAAGTTGATCAGTCACATGATTGCTGCGGCCGCACTCACGATGAAGAACGTCACGCTGCTTGGATGTGGCGGCCACGCACTCCTATCTGAAACCCCTTGCAGTGCCCTGCGATGGAGCGTGGCTCTGGTTATTATTTGCATTCATATCATAATCCATAGGATCGTTCGTGTCCCAATCTTCTTCCTCTGCGTACATGTAACTATGGTTGTCCGGGTCATACTGCCGACCGTTCACAATTAACTTATCGCGCACAAGTTTGACATGCGCCCCCTCGCTACGTAGTTGGCGCATGATTGGTATGAGCTCCCGTCGACGTTTTTCCATGGTCACTGGATATTGTCTATGTACTCCAAAGGATGTTCCCCGTAGCCAACTTGATCGTTCCAATACCATTTCCAGATCCTCTTGATACAGGAAGCGAGCAACAATTGGTCGAGGTTTCCCTTTAGTGAAGCGTCCGAAGCGATGGACGTTACTGAATTCTACGTGATGCGTAACCTCCAGCTCGTTGTAAAGAAATTGACGCAGCTTTTCCTGTGTATTTTCATTCTTTCTCTCTCCTCCCAAACCACTAAAGACCGAGTTCATTTTCATGGACCTAAACTGTAAATCTGTTATTGTTTCTTGCATTTGAAGTTTATCTCGTCTTAACTGGTCCATATTTTTTGCCATGCCTTCTATCATCTTTGAATGTCTTGAAAGCTCAGTGTCAGCATTCTTGATCTTGCTTTGGCCTGTTAAAGCTGCATATTTGGAGTTCCATCTTATACATCAGAATAGTAAAGGCAATTTTAGACGGTTATATTTGGGGAGAATCCGGTCTTTTCCGCCCTCTCATTGCCAGCGAGTGCCTACCCAGTGACGCTAATTCCCCAAAATCAGCGTAATGGAGGTTCCCCGGCCGGATAAATTTTGTGCGCACACCATCGCAGATGCGGATCTTTGGCTCCAAATGTTCAAGCTGTATGGATCATTTCGGCAATGGACAGATGTAGAGATCGTTAGGGCTTTCCCACTGTTTTTAGAACACTCGGCCATTGTGTGGTATATGGGACTTAACGCGGAAGTTAAGAGTAATAGTGAACATATATTCAGTGCCTTCCTAGATCGTTACGGACCAACTTATTTTGACAAAAGCGATGCTATACATAATTATTTCCATGCAAAACAGAAACAGAATGAGTCCGTATCATCATATTTGGCTAGACTCGAAAGATACGCGCTATGGGCCGGAGAAGGAGCATACAGATGCTTGAGCGCCGCGCTTACAAATGGACTGCGACCAGAACTAAGGCAGGATTTTTATCTACAGTATCACATGTACCAAGACCAGGACAAACCAGATGCAGTGAAAGCAGCCCGACATTCTGAGGGAATTCGCCGCTTCCGAGATGACATCGAGCGTGAGAAAAAAGAGGAGATAGAAAAAGCTGTCATCAACGCCTGTTCGAATGCAATAGACAAACTACAGCTCCCAAATTCAGTCAAAGGTATGTGTGATCTAGATAAAAATAAATGGAGTAGAACTAACTTTGATTCTAAATTCCAAAATGTTCAGATGAAAACTAAACGTAACTCTGCTCAAAATGAGCAAAATCAGTATACTCAGAGTGTAGCAGCTGTGTCAGGTGTTTCAAATTCAATAAAAAACGAACGAAAAATGAGTCAAAATGAACATTTGAAATTTGTACATGATTTCTTTCGGAAGCTTACAAAAGCATCCCAAGTTCCAAATATCTCAAAACAAAACGAAACCCCCCCTACATTATCTGTAGATTCAAGCAGCACTGATAAATGCAAAGTTAGTGTAAAAATTGGGGATCAGATCTTGCCCGCTTTGGTTGATAGTGGTGCTGGTATTTCTATTCTGCGAGAGTCCTTGTATAGAAGGTCACAATTGTCAAAGCAATTTAAGATTACCAAACCACAGTTTTACATGGTCAGAGGTGTCAGTGGTTCAGTCATGAGAGTAATAGGGGCAGTGTCCCTACCAATACGCATAGGAAATCTAGACATGGTGCAAGAATTTCACTTAATTGAAGATTTAGGCATGTCAATTATTCTCGGACGAGATTTTCTGAGAGCGCAAAAAGCTAACTTAGACTTTGCTAACCAAACTTTAGTGTTGCAGGGTGGTATGACAGAGGTCTAACTCTCGGACACTCAGTCTAACGTGGATGCCTTAAGCTTAGTCAAAATCATAGCTAAGGTTACTTTGGTCCCAAGGTCACGCACAGTTATACCTGTTAAAATTAAAGATATCCCAGAAGGTCACGTGACAGGTGTTATAGAGCCTAAAGCTAGCCTAATTGGACACAACAATGTCATGGCCGCTAGGTGTCTGGTACAATCTCAGTCAAAACGTGCTTGTATTGAACTGCTTAATCCAACAAATGCAAATGTTGTTTTACCAAAGAATTGTGTTGTTGGTAATTTCTCTAGAGTTGACAATGAAATGGTGTTAGGTGAACTTCACGACTCTGCTGTTGACATAGCAGTCGCGTCAAATACAAATGAAGACAATAGTCTATACTTTCAAAATGTTGCACGCGAGCTAGGCGTAGATGTAAATAATTCTGACCTCTCTGCAGAACAGAAGAGTCAATTAATGACAATGATAGGACAAAACAGGGACGCTTTTGCTAAAGATGTTTCAGAGTTAGGTAGTTGCAATATCTATAAACACCAAATAGAAACCGGCGACGCAAAGCCTATAAAACAATATCCATACCGCGCAAATCCTAAAGTTAAGGAAGAAATTTCGAGACAAATTGACGAAATGGAACAAAACGGCTACATTGAACAGTCTATTTCACCGTGGCAGAGTCCTGTCGTGATGGTGCCTAAAAAGAATGGTCAGCTGCGGTTTGCTGTAGACTACCGGAAGTTAAATGCCGTCACCCGTCCTATTACTTGTCCGTTGCCGCGCTTGGACGATGTCTTAGACACTTTGGGTGAAAGCAAAGCTCAAATTTTCAGCGTTCTAGATATGAGGCAAGGCTTTTGGCAGATAGAGTTAGATGAAAACTCAAAGCAAAAAACGGCGTTTGTAACACACAGAGGCGTTCATCAGTTTACGCGACTTCCGTTCGGATTAGCAAATAGTCCTGGTACGTTTTCAATTGTCATGAATGAGGTTTTGCGTGATTTGAACTGGAAATGCGCTCTTGTCTATGTTGACGATATTCTCATATTTAGCCACACAGTTTCCGAACATTTACTTCATCTGTCGGCTCTTTTTAACAAACTTCGAGAAGCAAATCTAAAATTAAATCCCGCAAAGTGCAAATTCGCATGCAAACAAGTCGAGTATTTGGGTCACGTCATTTCAAAAAACGGCATTGCGGTTGATACTACAAAAACAGATGCAGTCCAAACATTCCCGCGACCAACAAATGTCAAAGAGGTTCGCATGTTCATGGGGCTTTGCAATTATTACAGAAAGTTCATTAAAAATTTTGCTAAAACTGCAACACCCTTATATCAATTATTAACAAAAGATACAAAATTTCAATGGTCTGAAGAGTGTCAGACAGCTTTCGAAGCCCTAAAACAGAAACTTGTCTCTCCCCCAGTTTTGGCTTACCCAGATTTTGAAAAAGAGTTCATTTTAAACACGGACGCCTCGGGTCATGCCATAGGGTACGTTCTGGCGCAAAAAGATGCGAGTGGACGCGAACGCGTAGTAGCTTACGGTGGCCGTGCGCTTAGGCCGGCGGAGCGTAAGTGGGATGTCAAAGATCGCGAATGTTTAGCACTTGTCGAAGCGATCAAACAATATCACGCCTATCTAGCGAATGCAAAATTTCACGTCTATACAGACCATATTGCTTTGCAGTATTTGCACAAAATCAAAGAGAGTACAGGTCGCTTGGCGAGATGGTCGATTTTTCTTCAAACTTACAATTTTGAAATTCATTATCGTCCTGGCAAAGTCAATCTAAATGCAGATGCGCTCAGTCGGCGAGTTTATAATGCTGAGCCAGTACCGGTAGAAGCCGTTCAGTCAAACGACACGCCTCCAGAAGTAGGTTCAGTTGAACCTGACATTCTAGACGAAGAACCCGGTGTTTTAGCAGCACTGTTTGACGCTGAGAAACGGTACGTGGACTTAGATCCAGTTCAAAATTTGCTACAAACCACTACATTAAGCGGCGAGCAAATCCGGAATGCTCAAAGTGAAGATGTTTCTTTGCTTCCCTTGATACAGTACCTTGAGAACGAAATATTGCCCGATGACAAGCAGGCCGCAGATCACTTACTGAAAGAATCTAATCACTATGTTATGGATGATAGAATACTGTTTCATTTGTACCATCCGAGAGGGAAAGGTCACTTGTCCGAGCGTGTAATAAAACAGCTCGTCGTCCCTAGAGGTTTAAGAGACGACATCTTAAGGTCTTACCATGACTCCCTTATGTCAGGTCATCCCGGTCATGAGCGAACATACAACACTATTCGCCTCAAATACTTTTGGAAGCGTATGTGGGAAGATATTAAAACCTTTGTACAAACTTGTTTAGATTGTCAAATGGCAAAAAACAATCCACACGCGCGAAAAGCCCCACTTCAACCGCTTCCTGCCGAAGGAATTTTCTCGCGAATGCATATGGACATTCTATGTAACTTGCCCAAAACGACTGAAGGGTACAACCAAATTCTACTCGTCGTTTGCTCTTATAGCAAATGGTGTGAAGCAATTCCCCTTACATCTGGATCGGCTTCTGAAATTGCGCGCATTTTGTATGACAATATCATTTGCCGCTACGGTGCGCCGCGCTCCTTTGTAAGCGATAGGGGACAAAACTTCATGTCAAAAATTATCAAAGAATTGTGTGATATATTTCAAATTACTAAAATTCAAACAAGTAGTTACCACCCCGAATCAAATGCTGCCGCAGAGCGCATGAATTCTACTATAGCGCAAACTCTCAGAATTTACTGTGATAAAAATCAGACAAACTGGGCAAAAATCCTTCCTAGCGTTATGATGTCATACAGGACAACTGTAGCTACTCAGTCAACGGGATATTCGCCGTATTATCTGGTATTCGGTAGAGAGGCTAGGATGCCTATAGACGTTATGTTGAGGCCGGATGCAATGCAGAGGGTTGGTCGAAATGCCGAACAAGAATTTCATTCTATCTGTCAAGACCTTTCCATTGCTCGGGAAATTGCGTCCAAAAATATCCAAAACGCCCAAAATAAATACAAAGAACAATTCGATAAGAGTACTAAAGTGCCTGCTTTTCAAATTAATGATCGAGTTTGGCTCTATTGCAAGCGCACAACTCCCGGTCTTTCGCCAAAACTCACCAAAAAGTGGGTGGGACCTTATTATGTTTGTGACGATTTCGGCAACTACGCATATCGTTTGAGACGCTGCTCAGACCATAAAATTCTACGGGCATCAGTCCACGCTAATCGGCTAAAAACCTATCATGATCCAGCCACCCGCCCGACCAATCCACCTGACAATGTAGACGAACGTCAGGATCTCAATCCCGAGGAAATCGAAGATATTTCTGATCAGCCAAATACACAAAATGACAATCAAACTGCCCACAGACAAGACGACGGACAGGCTCCAGTTGTCCAGCAAAACGTGCAAACTCCGTCAAATCAAGCGCAACAAAATGATTTTTATGACATAGAAAAGATCATCAAATGTA